TCTCCAAATAAGCCACACTTTATTAATGCTGTTGTTTTTTACAGACGACCAAACTGAGTGCCGGAGAGGTCAAGGTGACTTCTCCAGAGCCAAATGCTAACAAGCTAACTTGCGATTCAAGTCTTGATTAAGGCCTTCGTGGAGGTAAGCACCCAGGAAGCTGTGTTTTCATGCAATCCGCAGTGGGGTCAAGACTGAAGGTCATAATAAGAAAGATGCAGATCGGGAGAACCCATCCTACCCCCGGGGCACCAGGTAGGGGTTATGTATTGTTGGATGCCAAAGAATGAAATTTCATGTTAGATCTTTGTTGTAAGCTTGATTTGTTTGCTTGTTTTCTTTTCAAAGGACTGAAGTTGTCAGGGGTGAGCTGATCAGCTGCTTGACTGACAGCTGTCACTGTTGCTACAGCAGTTGCTAAGGAGCCCCAGCCAGGGGATGACGAGTCCAGGACCACTTCTGCTGTCTCTATGGTTCTCAGATCCTGTGGCACTGGGAATGGCATTGGCACTACCCCACAGGAATGGCAGCAACTACAGCTTCAGCCCCTTTTGTCACGGCGATCCTGGGAGCTATCAGTCAGCTAGCTATTGCTTGTGTGCTTTTTCCATCTCTTGTAGCTCTGTTTGGACCATCGCACAGCTGCTCAGGGAGGCTCCAGTCACAGGTGCCAAGAGGAGGTCTCCTTCCAACAATATAAACCAACAGTAGCTTTCATGGCCACGACCCCAACCATGGCTTTTGCTTTGAAAATGACTTAATTTATTAAGAGCCACTCCAGGCACCCTGAATCAGCTCTTGAAAATGTTGTTTCAGCCATGACAGCATCAGACGATCTGTCCCAGCCACTCCAGAAGTCACCCAAACTCTTCAGTCAAGTTGGGCACTGATTGTATCCATGACAGGCCCAGTAAAATCTTCACAGGCTGTGTGACTCTGTGTGTGGTTGTAGACAGACGGCTGTGCGCGTGGGTGACAGACTGTGGTAGCCGCCCACCTCTCACTGTTCTGATCAGATCATCCCCCTGTGCAGTCCTACCATGCTGCAATACTAGGCACTCACAGAGTCTCTTCTGAACGGTCACATTGCTTACCTTGTGGTCTTTATCATGGAGAGTAGGTTGAGCTGGTGGCATGAAAAGCAGCAACTCTCTGGGCTACCAACCTTAGGCACCCCCAGTAGTAGCTAGAGGGCAGCAGATGAGTTCCAGAGAATGGCCCTGAACGGAGACAGGCGCAGACTGAGGCTATGAAGGACTGTGGAAGTGTCTCTGTGGAGAACTGAGGCTCTGGGGGCCACAGAAAGCAAAGGTTGCAAAGACACAAGGTGATGCAAGGGAAAGACTATGGAAAATGGAGAGCCGGAAGTATTACAAACCCCAGTCACTGCAGCCCGAGGCCAAGGAGTACGATTGCTGCGGAGAAGCAGAGCTGGATGCGGAGAGCAGAGGCTCCTGACCCCCTAAGCTCAGAGCTGCCGGTGCTAAGGAGCTGCAGTTCAACAGCCACATTTTCCACCCAAACGTGGCAGAAGAACCCTTAGCTGGCTGGTAACCATAACGATCATAATTTATCATTTCCAAGCCTAGATCAGGTAGGAAACGCTGAATATGCGATAAAGAGTCTGAGAGAGGAAAAAAAAACACACAATAAAATTAATAAAAGCAGAATCCTCAGGTTTAATCTTCATCCATTCTTGAAAAATTCATAGACTTAGTTAACAGCAACAACCACTGCAGCATGGACTAGACCGTAAATCATCCCCAGCGAGGCTGGATCCAGGTGCTATTACTCCCTGGCAGACAGGGCTTCTGATCCACGAGGCTTTGCTGATGCAGCTGCTTCTGCATGATGCTCTGTAAAGGTTTTTTTTTTTTTTTTTTTTTTTGATTTATAGTTTGAAGTTAAAGTTAGCAAAGAGTTTTTACAGTCGCACAAGAACCATAAGCATCTTTCTGTCACTATCTCAAATACCGCCGACATTTTGATCTCACATTCCTCGCTTGGCTAGAAACTAGGTTTGGATGCAGAGAAAAAAGGAAAAGAAAAAAAAAACAGCCAAACATGGCAATGATTGCAAAACTATATGAGACATCTTAAAGTCTTCAAAGCGTTGTTTGGCCTCTACCGCCACTTTCAGAATCAACAGACAAAGAGGTGGAGATACAGATCCGAGTGTTTCGCTCTGTCTGCCTCCCTTGCCGCAGCCGGGTCCTATTTATCAACGTCTGCACACACACACAGAGAAACGAAAACAGACCACGCTCTCTGCAGGCCACGAATGAGGCTTCCTTTCATCTGGCACTGTGTAGCCCTAGAAGTGTGTTACCAAGGGAAGCCATCACTCACTGGTGGCTTAGTTTTTGTTGTTTCCCTTTGGAAGTACTCATCCGAAGAATCTCTGTGAAGGAGACTATCAGCTCTTCCATTCTTTAACCGTGAATTTTCCTTTAAACGCCAGATACATACCTGAGGCAGATCACTTTCATTGTTATTAATGTTTTTAAGAAAAATAAGTCACCTTAGGAACAAAAGCAACCCTTTAAATCATCTCTTGTCTTTAAGAATCCTTGTAAATGCTTCTGCTAACTAGGGGCAAAATGCTCCACACTACCCCCAGCATAAAGGTTGGCCCACTGCAGCTCCCAGGGAGCTGAATGCATGCAATTCAGCTCTACACCTCATTATCCTAAAACATACTCTCTACACGAAATGTGCTTGGATAAATTCTGTACACACATCACTTTTTCAAAGCCTCATTTTATCCTCAAATCTTTTGCTAAAACGTACTGAAAAAAAAATGCTCTAGGGCATTGACTTTAACCTCTTTTGCCTGTTCAGTCTTGTCTCAGGAGAGCGAGGGTGGACAGGACCAGGAAGTAACCCACCGAGAGAAGCAGCAAGACTCTTCACTGAACACAAAGAGTTTTCACTCTACAAACAATCCAGACTTGACCTATTAGGGAATTGGTTTGTAATTTTCATCAGTAAAGGAAAGCAGGTTTGCAAAAGTAGGGGTGGCCAATAGAACAAACTGGAATAAAATTCTGAAAAATGACCCCACTTCTCACGCTTGTAAAAAATTTAGTAGCACATGAAAAAAAAAAATCCTATTCAGAGAGTTCACCGAAAATATTGTAGTTAGGAAGCATTAAGGTCCCTAACTGTTGGATGCTGGCTACTCTTAGTGGCAAAAGCAAAGTACAAATAGCTAGTCCTATGGTAGAAGAGCAATAAATTCTTTAAGGCTGTTCTTGACAAAGCTTTGACTGTCTGACTAAAGGGAGGGTGCTGGCTAGTTTTGGGTCAACGCCACATCGGTCACTAGGAAGAGGAAACCACAACTGAGAAAATGTCCCCACCACAACGGCCTGTAGGCAAGCCTGGGGTACATTTTCTTGATTGACGTTTGCTGTGGGAGGGCCCACAGCCCACTGTGGGTAATGACACTACTGGGCTGGTGGTCCTGGGTTCTATAAGAAAGGAGGCTGAGCAAGTCCTAGGGAGCAAGCCAGTAAGCAGTATCCCTCCATGGCTTTGATGGCTCCTACCTCCAGGCTTGTGGGGGCCCACAGAGGCTCCCTAGTCAGACCTTACTCAAGGTCAGAGAATCGGAGCTTGCTTTGCCCCGCAGGGCTGCATAATGGGAAGATTTGGCCAGGTGCATGCGTACCAGGTGTTTTGAAGGGGCTACACTTGCCTGTATGTTGTGCTTTGGTCTTGAAAGGGGGAGGTCTTCTGCCTCTCCCCTTGGTAGTGTATAAAAAGCCAATTAGAATAAATCTCAAAGAGGCTGGGTATTGACCCAGGGCCCCCCAAATCTATCCTGTGTCTCTGTCTTTCTTGTCGTCTCTGTCTATAATTCTATCTAATACTTCCTCATTCCTCTCTCCTCCCCACAAGAACCCTTCAACAGGTTGGAGCTGGACTCTGACAGACTCCCACACAGGCTCCTGCCTTGAGTTCCTACCCCGACTTCCCTGAATGATGAACTACAAGCTGTAAGAGAAAATAAACCCTTTCCTTCCCAACTTGTTTTTGGTCATTGTGTTTCATCACAGCAATTGAAACCCTAAGACAGGGATTTTTTTTCCAAAGAGGAGGGGGAGGGGAGGAGGAGAGGAAAGGGAAAAATGCAGAGGGAAAGTCCTTTATTAAAGATTAAGAAGCCAGTTCAAGCTTAAAGTCCCCCACACCTTGTCTCACAGCTGGAGTCCTATTCTGACATGTTTTGAATTACACGTCACCGTCACCTCAGGTTGGGAACCATGGGCTAGGGCAGGCCAGACTCACTCAAGGAGAGAGGGAGACCAAAAAAGGCAACTGCACCCAGAACCACCCCTTTAGTATCCGCTTAGAAAATGCATTAGCTGGGGTATCAGATGCTAAAACTTGGGTTCAAGGAACATTGTTCAAAGATTGAGTTCCTTAATGCTGCTCCTTCACAATTGAGTACTTGCATATATTTTACATCCTTTGACACAATTATATAAATTGCAATGTACATGATGTCCATTCATTTTACAAAGTAGATTTTACTCAGAGCTACATGTATTTCCTGTACTTTAAGAGCCAAAGTCTCAAAATAGCAACATGAGAAATCATATGTAAAATCAGTGTCTTACCAAACAAACATAGGAAGAATTAGTTTTGTACATTCAAGATTGAAATAAGGAGTTTAGCTTTCTGGAAATTTTAGATAAACTCCCAAGCAGGAATAGTGTGCTGAAGTCTCTGTCAGAAGTAACTTCTTAGTCTCTTGTCTCATGTTGGCCATTCTTAGCATTCCTTAGGAGCAACTAAAACCCACAATTCAGTGTAAACAGCTCTAGCATCACCAAACATCATGTCTACAAGTCAAGTCTATAAAATAAACATACAGTGACCAGCAGGATTGAAAAAGCAAGCCTCCAGTTTTCCAACACTGTTAGCATCAGTGTTCATTTTCTTAATTGATGGGTTTGCTCACTTTGTTTGTGAATTCAAACGAGAAGTCTCACCTTGTGATGCCCAAATTCATTCAAAATGCTGCCCAGTTTTCTGGTGTTGCTATGTAGCTTTTGAGCAGCCACAGCTGGATGTGGATCCCGCCAGTCAATGGCCAAGCGGTGATGCCAGAGGCGCCGACTCTCCAGAACGTGGGCTGATTTGACGCTAGGATCGAAACGATGTACTTCACATCCGTCCTTGGCCATGCTCACCTCAAAGTGTGTGTCATCATTGCCCAGCCTGGAGACCAGAGAAAGAAAATCAAAACAAAAAAATACAATGAAGCAAAATTAGATGAATAAATTGACAGCTCTAATGCCAGTGTTCCTCTAATGTACACTTTCAGTGAACTTCACATATACATGCTCTACACACACATATGCATGCCCTACACACACATACACATGCCCTATACACACATACACATGCTCTATACACATATACAAATGTTCTACACATACATGCTCATGCTGTATACATACATACATTCATACATTATAGGCCAAAGCCTCCCTACACACACATGCACATGCACTATACATGCATACACTCATACACTATAGACCAAGCCTCTGGATAAAATAAAACTAATCTGCTAATACAGATTAGGGAATCACTAGCTAAACATGTAGGCTCATGTGAGAGTGGTTTGATTGGGTTTTAAATTATATTAGCAAGGGAACAAATAAGAATACCCGCTAGCTTCAATAGGCACGCTATGATCTATGTAATCACAGAGGCTAGGAATAGAGTAAGAGACTAGGGGAAGGTCTCCCAAGGAAGGAGAAATAGAATATAGAGTTATGGAGAAACTGGAACAGGATTAAACAGAGAAGGGGAGGGAAGAGGAGGGTAAGGGAGAAAATATGGAGGACAGCTAACACTAATGGCTCTTTGCGGGGTCATGTGAAAGCCTACTACAGAAGAAGCTTCAAAAAACATATACATATGTGAATGAATTTAAGTGGAGTCACCAAACAATGGAGGAAGCAAAGCCCCGACTAGACATCATTTGCCATCCAGTGAAACCTCCAGGGCCAGGAATGGGTTACATCTAATTGAATTGTTGGTCAAAGCAGTCCCATGGAAACCCCAAACAACTTGGCTATTGCCAAGACCATTAGTTGCTCTCCACAAACTGATTGTGAGGCTGAAGACAACACTTACATGTTTCTTAAAAATGTTCATCGAACACAGAGAAGTCGAGTTGATGCCTCACAAGCGCCTCCACCCCTCCTAACTAGTATTCATGGTACTGGAAGGTTCTCTGCATGCTACTAGGGGAGAAACATAAGCAGCAATCCAGTTGCAAACCCTGTGATCTACAATGGTGACCTGTCTGTGTGATATGCTTGTGCAATCGTGGCACAAATGTGAGAATAACCAATTACTATCTCTTTGAATTTTAGGCCCACTCCTTGAGATGGAACCCATTCCCAACATCACTTAGGTGGCCTAGAACCTGAGACTAGAGAGGCCGTGGACCCAGGGGAAAACCAAATACTCTTGGTCTGCTAAAGGAATGGAGCACTAAAATGACTCCTACTGACATGCTGCTAGACCCAAAGGTCCTCACTCAGCCATCCCCAGAGAAGCTTCCTTCTGTAGTAGACGGAAATCGATACAGAGAGCCACCTCTAGACAATGTGCACAGAGTGGGATACATCCCCTCAGGGCTCAGGGAACTGTGCAGCAGAGGAGGTGGAAAGATTGTAAGAGCCAGAGGAGATGGAGGGCACCAAAGAAACAGTGTCTTCCAGACTCTACAAGACTGACATACAGATGAACTCACAGAGACTAGAGCAGCGTGCACAAGGTTTGCCCAGGTCTAGGTCAGATGGGGTCCCAGCATGGAAATGAGGAGTGGACATGTGGTCCCACCCCCAACCCAGAAGCTATGTCCAACTGACAACCACTTCCAAAGGAAAATTAGTTTTCTCCAATGAAGGCTCACTGGGTGTATAAATCACACTTAATGGAAGGCCTCATGCCCATGGGTACATGATAAACACAGAACCAACTCAATGGTGTTTTTGGAGATTTTGTTGTTGTTGTTGTTGTTCATATTGCTTTGTTTGGGAATTTTTTTTATCTTACTGGTCCTTTGTTTGTATATTATGGCTTCCGATTTTGTGCTTTTATGGGTTCTGTTTTTGTGTTTTGTCTCTGTGCTTCTTTTATTTTTTCTTTGTTGTTGTTATCATTATTATCACTATTATCATTATTATTGTTTGTTCTTTGCCTGCTTGTTTTCTGAAGAGAGAGAGAGAGAAAGAAGGTGCAGAGTTGGATGGGTGGGGAGGTGGGGAAGATCTAGGAGGAGCTGAGGGAAGAGAAATTGTGACCAGAATATATTGTCTGAAACAAAATTGATTTTCAATAAAAATAAGAATATCCACTAGTCTTAAGAGAATTTTCTCAGCAAAGGCCAAAAAAAGATAAGGTTAGGATTCGTTCTTTTGAGGGGAGCTGCTTTCTAATGAGGTGCTAATTTGTCTCTGTGGTACTAAGCATGACGCTGGGCTTGTGGGCAGCCGCTGTGTTCTTTTAATGGAGTGTATTTTAAAGTAGTCCAGGTAAAGGGCAAAGGGCAAATGTGTGCACTTCTGCTAGATCCAGAGCACAAGGAAAGAGTCTATACCTGAGTTCACAACAATAAGGGGAAGGAATTATGAATATATTGTACCTAAGCACCTAGTAGGTAGTATGTCATGTAGACAGTTCATATGCTTACAAACACTGAGCTACTAAGAAAAATCTCTTATTTAATGTAAGAATCACCATGTTGATCAAAGTGCCAATTTGAATGGAAAACATGAAAAACCAGAAAAGAGTCATTTTTTTCATGGTAATTAAGACTTCTCTGCCAAAAATTCTTTCCTTTTTAGAGAGGGGATGGAGGGAGAGAAGGAGGGAGGGAGGGGGAGAGAGAGACACAGAGAGAGAGAGAGAGAGAGAGAGAGAGAGAGAGAGAGAGAGAGAGAGAGAGAGCCTTGCTATGCAGCCCAGGGTCTTGAACTCATAATCCTCCTGCCTCAGCTTCCTACTGCATGGAATACAAGCATGTATAACCATGCTTAGTTCCAAAGTCCTATGATTACTAGTGATTTAGGACAACAAAACCCCACAGAATGTCTGTAACACAGTGGCCAAACCCAAACTAGTAGAGAAGAACTTGATTCTCTTCGATTACTATTTCAGACTGCCGCACAACTTGGGCACACACAAAAACAGGAGCTAACAATCATTCTGCAGTTTTAGTTAACTGGAATAAGCTTTCATCTACCTAAAACTTCAAGGTGGTCCTATTCACTTTAATCTCTCCCTTCACCCCACTATATGGCTCTCTTCATCACTGGATAACTTGACGTGTCTTTCAACCCACAATAAGCCTCAGCCAGATCTCATCAACCCACTTTAGTGAGAACACTCAACAGTCCCACTTCTTCTACCTGAGCGGTCTTATTGACTGTTTTCTTCTTTCTATGAAACCCACTTCAGAACCCTCCCCCCTCAGCCCTCCCTCCCTCCGTCCCTCCCCCCCTCAATCCCCCCTCCCTCCCTTCATTATGCTGGGGATCAGGTGCAGAGCCTTATGCATACTCAGTAAGCTCTCTGCCCACTGAGCTCCAGCCCGACCCCTTAAACTAATTTCTTATAATTCTAGCTTCTACACATAGAAAAAAAAGTTAAAAAGTAAGAAGCAGAAAAAAATGAAAAGTAAGTTTTTCAATTCTAGAAATTGTAATCATTAACTTCTAGAGATTCATGTTTAGTAGTTTTTCTGTATCTTTCCAGGATTTTTCTACACATGCACAAGGGATGGCCTCTATTATAAATTATTAGAAGCACATGCCTACACATGTAAGTTAATCAGTACATAACAGAGATATTTTATATGATACAGCAGATGACTGGAACCTGCTTGTTAATTTGTAATTTTTATTAACTGAGGTTACTTTTGCTCAGTCTACTAAATCCTCTTCTCAGAAGTAGGTTAGTCTGTAGCTGTGGAAAAATAACACTTAGAGGAATAACCTGAAGAAGAAAGCATTAATTCCAGCCCCTGGTTTCACCCCATCACAGAGGGAAGGTGTGGTGGAAGAGTCCACAGCATGGCAGACAGGGAGCGGAGCAGGGCAGTAACACGAAGTCCAGGGCAAGGCAGAGCCCCAGGACACCCCACCCAAGCTGGGTCCCACCTTCCACAGCTCTCACCCCTCCCGACACTTCATTCACATCTTGAGTTCATCACAGCTTAACCCACTCAGGACAGAGATGCTGTGATCTAAAAACACCCCCACAGATACCCCGAGAGATGTACTACAATGACCCCCCCACAGATACCCCTAGAGATGTACTACACTGACCACACCCCCAACAGATACCCCTAGAGATGTGCTGTGCTAACTCCCTAGGCATGTTTCAACCCACTCAAGCTGCCGAGATTAACATCACAATCAGTGTATATGGACTATAGGATCATGGGGTTTCACTGTGACATCCCCACATCATTTAATTTTAATATACAAATATGTACTGTGTTGGGAAGCAATAAGCTATGCTCATTTACCTAGTGTATGCAATTCCACCTTTTGTGTATTTAAAATAATGATCTTTCCAGGCTTGGTTTACATTTATCAACTTTGATGGCAAGAGGAAGAATTAAGATACTGCACAATACATCCCAAGGTAACAGAACCAGGAGTAGAATCCATGTCTAAAACCTCCAATGCAGACACACAGGTAGGTGCACCCTCCACACACTCCTTCACAGCAGGTGACCTGGGACACGGGGCTCTGGAGGAACATTCCTCTCAAAGTCTAGAAAGTTGTCACTTTTTGGAGAGTGAGGCTGTTGAGCTTGCTTGCTCCTGACTCTCCTGTGCCCCCGACAGCGATGACAGATAGACCTGCAATGTTGCCCTCAGTGACAAAAAGCTTGCTGTTAGGTCTGCCACTCCCAGGACATACCACAGTGTCCAGACACAGCACGCAGCAAGCTTCAGTTCCCCATCTCACTCCTGTATGTAAACGAGTATTTAGAGGATGCTGCACAGGAGCAAGGCGTCTGCTGAGCATGAGGACAAAGGGGGCACACATGTCCTCGAGCTGAGGGAGCTCACGAAGTAGTGATGAGCAAAGAGCATTTTGAACAAATAATTACAGTAATACCTATCATTAATACAAAAAAAATCTGAACATCAACCATCTTCTGTTGCTATCTCACTTCAAAGAGA